GAGCTCCTGGGCTCTTCACTGCAGCTACCACTGTCCCTTGGAATCTGGTTTCTCAGGTGAGGCCGAGGCTAAGGCAGCTGGTGACTGCCAGAGCCTGGACTCAGACCCCTCTGTGACTCCTGGGCCTACTCCATCTGTGCTGCATCATGGACCAAGCATACAAACCTGACCCACCGCCCTGCCAAGCACTCCTTTGCTCGGTCTATGACTACTTGTCCACTTGTGTTGTAGGGGAGCAGCTGGTCACAGTGGCTCAGGGTAGCGATGCATTTTCACCTGGGCTTTCCCACTTCCTCATCTGCTCTTACCTTTTAATTTTGCTGAGTTGTTTCCTCACCTTGGAGGACACCTCACCTTCTCCGAGGCAGGATCCCATAACTGTTGGGGGGTGCTGGCCTCTTTGACAATCTGGGGGAAAGTCATGGCTCCCTCCCAGAAGTCTGCAGACCCAAGAGTAGCATATACAATAGAGGGGCTTAGACATCCTCTGAAGTCTGTCCCAGAGCTTCCTAGAGTCTGGATTGAGACCTTGATGTTATTATGGGTTGTGGGTGCTGTCTGCCTATTCTGTATCTCAAGAGCTTCAGAACCTAGATGCTTAGTATTGTTGGGTAGCTGGGTGTGGCCATGCCTGAAGAAGGATTTGTTTTTTTTGAGACAGAGCCTCAAACTGTCCCCCTGGGTTGAGTGCTGTGGCATCACAGCTCACAGCAACCTCCAACTCTCCAATTCCTGGGCTCAAGCGAGTCTCCTGCCTCCGCCTCCCAAGTAGCTGGGACCACAGGCGCCTGCCACAATACTGGCTATTTTTTTGGGGGGGGGGAGGTTTGCAGCCATCATTGTTGTTTGGTGGGCCCGGGCTGGATTTGAACTTGCCACCTTAGGTGTATGTGGCTGGCGCCTTAGGCACTTGAGCCACAGGCGCCGAGCCAAGGCTTTGTTTTTGAGACAGTGATTTCATAATAGTAAAGTTTGAGAATGGTTGAGCCCACTGAGTGGGCTCAGAAGTCTATGTCCAGTTTATCCATCAGTTAACTTCTGCACAAATACATACAACAAACGACACACATATATAGCGCAGTGGACAAGGCCAGCACAAGCAGGTGCCTGGCCTGGGTAAATGGCAAGCCCTGTGTGTGGGACCTGTGGGGACAGAGTGAGCCTTCTGGGATGAAATCCCACAACCCGAGCAGACGTGAGTCTAGAGGTCATCTGAGTGCTGTGGTTGTCCTGGCACCTTCCCAATGGCCAGTGACCCCTCCCAGCCACCATGAAACCATGCAGCGGAGCTAAGGACAAGACAGCCATCCTCAGGCCCTGCTCTGGGGATGCCTCGGCCTCCCAGGGGCTCTGTGGGCCCAAGTTCTGGCTCCGTCCACTTTCTTGTCCTGTTCTCTGATTGGTGGTGGCCAGAACAGGGCACACAGCCTATCCTAACCACTGTGAGGTTCTGGTTCCTCTACTGCCAACAAGGAACATGGGGTTGGCTAAGGAAAACCTTGGTGCTCCTCCTCCCAGCTTTGCTGCTGCCCTGTAGAAGTGGCTACTCTAGTCCCCTGGGGACTCTGCTCTAGCTGCCTCAGAGGCCCCTGCTACTGGGAAGGAAGAGATAGGATAGTAGGATGGGCAGAAGGCAGAACTTGAGCCCTGAGAGGGTGAGGCAGAAGCGGGAGCTGGTCAGCCAGGAGGATAGGAAGGCCTGGGCACAGAGCAGCTCAACTGCTGCAGTAGGTAGCCAGTTTCTCAAGAAGAGCAAGGAGGCCTGGACCACAGGCTCCACTTCCTCTTATGGAAAAAACTGCAGCCCTGCTGTTCTGGTTGGTAATTCTGCAGCCTCTGCCTTGGAGCCTGCAGCAGGTTGGGAGTTTCAAACAGGTGATAGCAGGGGTCCTGAGGCTTTGGCTGGCAAAATGGGGTTAGGAGAGGAGGCTGAGTGGTTCAAGGAAAGAGCTCCCGTTCTTAAGCACACAGAACTGGATCCCATATAATTTCCTGTCCCAATTAGAGCACTTCTGAGAATGAACTGAGTTGTGTTAATTATGACAGCAAGACAACAGATGTAAACTAGGACTCAGGGCAAACACAGATCCATTAGCCTACTTATTGCTACCTCCTAGCTGTGCAGATTTGGGCAAGTTACATAACCTCTCTGAATTCTCATTTCTGCATAAAAAAGGTTAGCATCATGTCTGCCTCCTAGGGCTGTGGGAGGGATTAAAGCATTTATGTGAGTTTCTGGAATAGCCCTGGGTAGAGGGTGGGCTCTTGATGCTGTCTCGCTTCCTTTGTAAGGTAGTGAGTTCCCTGTCCCTCAGGGTGAGGCAGATCCAAGTCTTCCCGATGCTCTCCAGTGTGGTGATGGTGCGGGTGGGAGACAGGCTATCCTAGAACTGGGGGGTGGCCAGTGGTGGTGCCTGGTCACTCTCCTACCTGGGTAGTGGTGACTTCTGTGCCTGTGGAGGGCCCACATCAGGGCCCAGCCTGGTGGCTTCACTGTCTCCGTTTCTGTCTTCTGTTCCTAGAGGCCCTGGTTTTCATTGAGGGGGGAAGAGTTCATCCACTCCTGCCCTCCTGGGGTTGTCCTGTGGACACAGCACATGCCTTGGGCCAAGGAGGCTGGAGAATGACCTGGAGGTGGCAGCTGCTGTCCTTTCTGTGCCTACTCCTGGGTCCTGAGAAACTGAGCAGGGCCTGTCCTGACCCAGAATGTTCTCAAGAGCAGTGTGGGGTCTAGCTCCGCAAATGTTGTCATTTGACCCTGGGTTAAGTCATTGGTCTCCTGGCCTTAGTTTCTGCTGGGAGGTGGGGCGAGGAAGCCTTCTTCCTCCTCAGGGCACGGAGGGCTGTGGGTGGTGTAAGCACCCTGGGGACCCCTGGAGGCAGTATGTGCTCAGACCACTAAAGAATGGGTGAGGCAGGCTGGGCATCTGTAGCTCAGTGGTTACAGCACCAGCCACATACACTGAGACTAGTGGGTTCAGACCCAGCCTGGGCCAGATAAACAATGACAACTGCAACAAAAAACAGCTGGGCCTTGTGGCAGGTGCCTATCATCCCAGCTACTCAGGAGGCTGAGACAAGAGAATCACTTGCGCCCAGGAGTTTGAGGTTGCTGTAAGCTGTGACGCCACAACATTACCCAGGGCGACATAGTGAGACTGTCTCAAAAAAAAAAAAAAAAAAAAAGGATGAGTGAGGTCAGGGTTTAGTTTGCTCCCTGCCCTCCAAGACCAGAGTTGTCGCTGCAGGTGGCATAGTGACCCCTCTGCCACCAGCCCTTGTTGGGTCCAAGATGACTTCGTGCTGGGGACATTACTCCAGCGGTCTCAGCTACTGTCTAATTTGTCCTCCATTGCCTTTCCTCGCCCCCAGAGAAGGTTCTTCTGGCCAGAGGATGGTTTTTGAAGATGGAAGGCATCCTGAGGTAATGACATACAGCCCTCAGCAAACTCTTCTGGCCACTAAACATGCAGCCAAAAGCTCACAGCAGCAGCTGAGGTGGCAGGAAGCAGGTGCACAGCCATGACAGGCTCCCCAGGGTGGGTGCAGAGTAAGGTTAAGGTGTGACACCACAGAAAGGGCAGGCCAAGCCATGGTCCCCACTGCCTAGGGGATGATAAAGATTGGTTGTGGCTGAGAAATGGAGTGTCTCCAAAAACAAGGTCATTGATGCCCCAGCAAGAGGTGCTGCAATCCACCTTAAGAGTTTGTGGCCTGGCTCGGCGCCTATAGCTCAACCGGCTAAGGCGCCAGCCACGTACACCTAAGGTGGCGGGTTCGAATCCCCAGCCTGGACCCGCCAAACAACAATGATGGCTGCAACCAAAAAATAGCCGGGCGTTGTGGCGGGCGCCTGTGGTCCCAGCTACTTGGGAGGCGGAGGCAGGAGACTCGCTTGAGCCCAGGAGTTGGAGGTTGCTGTGAGCTGTAATGCCACGGCACTCTACCCAGGGAGACAGCTTGAGGCTCTGTCTCAAAAAAAAAAAAAAAAAAGTTTGTGGCCTGAGTTACCCGTAGCTCAGTGGCCTGGGCCAGCTGAAAGAACAATGACAACTGCAACAACAAAAAAATAGCCAGGTGTTGTGGCAGGCGCCTCCCAGTTACTTGGGAGGCTGAGGCAAGAGAATTGCTTAAGCCTAAGAGTTAGAGGTTGCTGTGAGCTGTGATGCCACTGCATTCTATCGAAGGTGACATAGTTAGACTCTGTCTCAAAAAAAAAAAACAAAACTGTGGCTAATCAGCCTACTATGAATATGGAAATCTCAAGAAGTAGTTCAAATACTAAAGGCCTATATCAATAGTCAACGTATTCTCACTAAAACAATCTTTTCGGTATTCTCTCATTGACTCCAGATATTGGGATATTATCCAGTGTAGATACTTCGACAGGCAAAAGGATGGCATCTCATGGTTTTAAAAATTTATATATATATATATATATATTTTTTTTTTTTTTAGAAGCAGAGTCTCATTTTGTCAACCTTGGTAGAGTGCTGTGGCATCACAGCTCACAGCAACCTCCAGCTCTTGGGCTTAGGCAATTCTCTTGCCTTGGCCTCCCCAGTAGCTGGGACTTATAATTTTAATTGGGGAGCTTGACCACTTTTCAAGTATTTCTTCTTCTGAGATGAGTCTATTCACCCTCTACACTGGCTGTTTCTCAATGGCTTACAGGTACTCTGTGTATTATGGATATTAACCCTTTGTACTGTATTTCCTCCTATTTTCTCTGTTGTCTTTTAATTTTGTTAATGTTGTCTTACACAAGAAGTTTTACAGTTCCACAAAGTCCCATGTGTGTCTTTTCCTTTGGTATCTGGGTTTCATGCAATATGTAGAATTCCTCTCACTGAGATGATTCAGCTATCGTCTCAGACATTCTGAGAAACACTGGCTACAACTCTTGCAGCGGCAGCAAAACATGCTTATCCAAAAGAAAATGTTTATTTTAAAAATAAGAACTATTACCCCCAAGCATTTATTTAAATAATAGATATGCACATAAATTCAAATGGCACAGGAATAAACAGCTTTGTGTTCACAGCTGGTCAGACACTGACAAACAGGATGTGTACATACTGAGATTTGGTTGTTATGAAAATGCATAAGAAGGCTTAAGAAATGGTCTGTTTACAGGTTTGGGTGGAGCCATGATCCCCAATTTTCTGCAGGCTCCTGATGGTGCCTGAGAATCATGTGAGGCTGAGCTGGATCCAATTACGTTGGAGGATTTAGTTTTGGAAGATACCTTTCTGCATGCGGTGGAACCCCTAAAATGTGGCCAAAAAAAGAAGAAGAAGAAAGAAAATTAAAATATTAAATAAAAACAAAAGTGAACCACCTCCTTTCTCTCACCCTGCAGGAGGTACCAGCTGTGGTTTCCCCTGGTCCTGTGTCTTTGTGCAGGTTCTACTTGTAAACCCTGGTTGGTGTGGTGACTTCCCTCTATTCCTCAGTGAGTAAGACTGCTGCTTCTCACACAAACCTGTCCTGAAGCTGTCTTCCTTGAATGGTAAGGACGGGTTCTAATTCTGGGACTTGTGACCAGTGGGCTGCCTCCCTACCCATACCTTCCAGAGGCTGCACATGGAACTGGGATCCACATACAATCTGATCTCTTCTCACTCCTTTGCTGTGGGTGACAAATCCCTCCTTGGGCTTACTGGATGAGCATAGTAAGAGAAGGGCAGCTTTGGGGGTGAGTGGAAGTGGGGACAGAGACCAGTCTCTTCCAGCCAGCCTGGACCTGGAAGCAGATGTGCCTTCTGGGGAGGGCCAGCCCTGCCTCCCCCACTGGCCTCTGTTGGGGTGTCCAGTAGCTGGCCATGCTAGCCCAGCTTTCCCTCCCACTCACTGCCTTCCAAAGCCTCTGCCATAGCCTATTACCAAGTCCCTCCAGCGTCTACTTCACTTTCCTTGTAGACCTGAAGGTAATACCTCCTCTGCCTCACTTTCTTCGAAGACCTGAAGGTAATAGCTCTGCCTTTACCCCCAAGTGAAACAAAACCCAAACAAGACAACCACAGGCCAGCGTCCCCAGCAGAAGTCTTTCCTGCTGCTGTGCACCCAAGCCCAAGGCAGGCCCAGTGTCCCCTGCACCAGGGCCAAGTGGCCTCCTGGGGTGTAGGATGTCCTGCTATAGCCTGTGAGTAATCACTTTCTGGTGGGGCTGGGTGAGTGGTTTTTTGACACTTTTTAACTGGGCTCTAGGGCAGTTTTCCTGCCAAAGATCTGGGCAGAGAGTCGGCCTCAAGTTTCCCAAAACAGATTTCCTGCTGAGAAATTAAGCCCTGAGCAAAAACCTGCTGTTTACATTAATTTACAGAATGAACAGTAGCCTCTACTTCTACCTGGGCCCTCCTCACCTCCCACTCAGACCCAGCCCAGAGCCAGGGGGCTCTGAGGTCTCAGGAAGGGAGCCACACCGGTTCTCCCACTGCACTGGAACCCTCAGCCAGGAGCAGGTGGTGGGTAGAAGTGCAGACACAGGAGCACACTGGCTTCCTCTGGGGGCTAAAAAGGACACATCTTAAACACAGGCTAACTGTAAACTAGCCTCAAAACCATTATTGGCTTTTGGACAAGTGTCAGTTTTACTACTTTTTATTAGGTTAGGTTCTAGGTGACACAGCAAAGTGCTTTACTCTCATAAACCAAAGTTGAGAGGAATAAGGGAGCTGACAGCAGGGAACATTAAAATATGTTCTACTTTGTTTTTAGAAGTTGAATGAGACAGGAGGTCATGCATGGTTTTAAGCAGTCTCCTGAGACAATGTGCAGAAATGGAAGCACTCAGGGCAGACCAGCATCCAGTCCCACTTCTGAGATGGCAGCCAGGCGGGATGGCCTCAGACAAGAGTTCTGCAGGCTGGGCTCATCTCCTTTCTCACAAACCAAAGAGCTGGCCAGATGCTGTTCAAGGCTCCCTGCTCTGTGTGAACTACTAAAGAAATGAGTATTTCCCAAGGATGAGGAATAAAGAAAGGAAATAAGAAAATGTCCTCGCTGAAGAACATCTACCCGTCACTTACGCACTACAAAAACCACAAAATTAAACTAACATTTATTAATGCCTTTAATTTCTGTACTCTGGCAGAAGGATTAGCACGTCTAAGATGTTTGTTTAAGAACCTAACAAGAAAATGACAATGTGGTAATTAATGTTTGCCTTCCTTTCTCTTCCCCACTCAATTTTTGCTTTTTATTACCCAGAAGCAGATGAGGTAGAAAAACTGCAAAAAATACAACAGCCTGCAAAAGTTGACTGTGGACTTGCCTCCCTTTTCTGTGAGCAATTCTGTTACAATATGCAATTCTCTGGGGCCATGTTCTCAGGATTGCTGAGAGGTCTCTATCCTACCAAATCTCACCTGCCAGGCAGAGTGCAGAGGGTGCTGTGGTGGTGGAAACAGGGCTTTGTGAACAAGAGCACTACCAGGATCAGCACAGACAGGCACCAGCCCACAGGGCTAAACAGATGTGGCAAAGGGGAGACAAGCCATTTGTGCTGCCCCTAAAGAGGCCTGGCTTGACTGAAGTTTTGGTTTTATATTGTGACTTCTCTGTCTCTCTGCAAAGCCAGGAAGCTGGCACTCCCAGGCACTAGAGTTTCAGGAGGGCACAGGTGCCTCCAGGTGGGGGCACGGAGTCCTGCAGCTACAAAGCAGCTGGCAACTGTTGACAGTCTATGAGGCTGCAAGGACACAGCACCCTCTGCTATTCTTTCAGTTAGTGTATGATTTATAGTATTTAGGTGGAAAGTCTCCTAAGAAGAGACATTATCCAAAACAAACAAGTTTCTAAGGTAGGGTCAGAACTGAAGTAGTTTTTATAAACTGGAAAGCTTCATTCATAATCAACTTAGTTAAAAGTAGGTTTTTTAATGTCAATTGCAAAAATAAACAAACAAAAAAGAGCAGGTATTTTATTTCTTTTAGAGACAGGGTCCCACTCTGTCTTTTCAGGCTAGATTGCCATGGCGGCATCATAGCTCACTGCAGCCTGAGACTTCTGGGCTTAAGGTTATCCTCCTGCCTCATTCCTGAGTAGTTGGGACTACAGGTGCCCACCACACCTGGCTAATGTTTTAAAAACTTTTGTTGAGATGGGATCCTTCTATGTTGCCTGGGTTGGCCTCAAACTCCTGTTTTCAAGCAATCCTTCTCAGCCTCCCAAAGGAGTATAAGATATTTTAAAAATCTGATGCAAATATTCTTTGTTTTGGATTAAACCTTAATCATCACTCTATTAACTGGAGAGGCAGTATTTAATGTCTTATTTTGGCTCGGCGCCTGTGGTTCAAGTGGCTAAGGCGCTAGCCACATACACCTAAGGTGGCAGGTTCGAATCCAGCCTGGGCCCACCAAACAACAACCAAAAAAAACAGCCAGGTGTTGTGGTGGGTGCCTGTGGTCCCAGCTACTTGGGAGGC